TCAAAACTGACTGAGATAACTTTAATCTATGTAGAACTTTATTTATTGTTAATGTACTAACTGGATGCAATATTGTAGTAAAATGCTGAGAATTCCATTCTGTATCACAAGTACTGATTTGGAATAAAGCTATTATCTTATCTTATCTTGTCTGTAAGACAATATACACATTTCCTCAGTTTCATACCAATCCGATACGAAATCAATTTGGTCAGATGCCTCACGAATAGAGCAAGATGGATTTGTACAGATGACTCCCAAGAAAATGAGTTAGGATACATCCAAAATATGCTGGTTCAAATGGGTTATCCTGGTAGATTTGTGAGGAGACACATGAACACCAAGTACAATAAAGAGAAACTGATAACAATTAAAAAGAAACAACTGTTGATGAAATTGCAATTTAATGTGGAGGTGTCTAGAGAGGTCTTACATCTGAGATTATCGAAAGCAATAAAACGGACTTATACTGCCGCCACCCTTTGTTTGTCATTTTCCAGCCGACCAATTGTGATTGCTCAAGCGAAAGAGAAGCTACCTAGCTGTACCACTTCTATGTGTATCCATAAATTTAGTTGCTCCTGTGGAGAGAGCTATATGGGACGAACAACTAGACAGCTTAACTAACGCATTAATAAGCATATTCCTTCATGGTTCGTAAAAGGTCAAATAAAATCCATAAGAAGTTCCGTTCTGGATCATTTGATTGATAGCGGTCACCAAGTGGACAGAAGTAGTGCCTTCAAAGTTATCTGTCGCATTCCATCGAGCCTTTAGAACGGAATTCAAACCCACATGCTAAACACATAGCCGAAGCTATGGGAATTCGAGAGAACAGTCCACGTGAGCTGAAGGATTTATTTTGCTTGATTTGAGTCAGATGTCAGGGAAGGTAATCTGATGATTCTAATATTTCGTAGGAACATATTTTGTCAGGTCTCATTTTCCGTAACTCGGATTTTGTATGATTGTATTTAATGGGTTTCAAAACAGCCTGTGACAGGTATAGCTGTTGAAACAGAGACAATAGTCTCCTGTCAACATTTCGGTGACATCAGAACTCCAGAGATATTGTGTCATGGAAAATGGAGGGAATTGTTTAGTTATTACGAGGAGAAGGTGTCATCCTGCACGTGGATAAATGAAAGGCTATAATTAGTTGTCACCTCTTGGATGTATTCACCATAGAGTGAACCATTCGAATGATTTTGTAGATCCCATTACAGGGAAACACATTAACTATATAGAAGGCTTTTTGGGAAGGTTAAAAACAGGATCAGGGCCATTAATGGATCTCAAAAGGATGTCATTTATAGCCATTTAGATGAATGCATGTATAGAATGTGGTGTAACTTTCCAGCTGATACTTTTATGCTTGACCACATTTCAGAGAAAGGTATCCTAAGAAACATTTTCATGCATTTTTTTCATAAATATGTTTTCCTCAACGAAAAATGCCTCCTTCATGTGATTGGTGAGTTCAGGATCATTCGCTGATTGGTTAATGATGCTTAGAGTTTAACTTTTGCCGATGAATACTAAGATCAAGAATTTCACCAACTACAACTGAATTGAGATTTGAGTTTAATTGTCCGCTTTAACTGATAAAGATTTTGATGAATGCTCTTAATGTTATTAAGCGATATAATGAACACAGACTGTAAAGCCCTTCAATTACCATTCAATTTAAAGTGTTTTCTGAGTCTACAACATTTTTCTCGGGTTAAACAGCATCCATTCCGCTGTTTCACTAATAAAACACTTTTTCTTCTATTTTATTATTTATTTGTTATTCCCTTGAGACATAGGACGTCAACAACACATCACCGCTTTGATATATTTTCCGCATTTCTCTTCAGCCAGGTCCACGATCGCCCATAATCTCTCCTCTTCTCCTCGACACACGATCTCCTCTATGTCATTCTTTCATTGACGACCCACTCATCACTTCCCTTTGGGACTGCATTGAGCGCAGTGTCATTCAACGGTCTCTTCAACGTGTGTCCGATCCATCCATCTCCACTTTCTCCTACATATGCGTTGAGCAATCGGCTCTTGGTTGGTTTGTTCCCAGCCAGTTTTTTGTTAGTAATTCTTTCTGGTCAGACGGGCATTTGATCTTCATTATGGAGCCATCGCAGACAAGGGTGCTCATTATCACCAATGATATTCCCAATTGTGGTGGACTGACTGGATTATGCGTCAGACATTGAGTGGGAAACGAGAAGACAGGGATATCATGGACCGACCGACGTGAAGAACCTAGAAGACATGGATTTCGCGCACGGATGATTTATGTTTGATGTCACCGTCACAAAATCGAAGACTTACAAGCGAAAACTGACAAAATGGTCGAAGAGGCAGCCCCTTAAGACAGGACTCCAGGTGAACGTAGACGAGACGGAGGTGATGAAAATAACCAACCAACCAACCAACAACAACGGTAGCAGCAACATCCAGCGTTAAACACCATCAACGCGAGGGATTTGAAAGAGGTAACTTCATTCACTCACTTATCTAGCATTGGGCATTGCCTCAACTACACGCAGTTGGGACGGACGAGGATGTCAAATCGAGCGAGAATCGGGAAGGCGAGAAACACATTCATCAATCAACCTGAAACCAATCTGGAAATCTTCGTCACTCAGCCAGCATCAACAAAAAAGTTCGATCGGATTTTCAATACAAACGCGGTCAAGTCAGTCAGCTCTTCTATACGGAACGGATCAGAAAATTGACGGGCGGGTCACGAAGAATATTTCCAACAGCCTGTTGAAGACCTCCATCAACTAACAACTGTCTTCGCTGGCTCTATACTGAAGATCAGATGGCTGGGCCGGAAAGAATCACCAACAAGAAACTCTGACTGGGAACAAACAAAACAAGAACCAATCGCCAACCAAGAAATATGCAGGAGAAAGTGGAGATGGATTGGACACTCGCTCGCTGAGGAGGCCGCCACTGGGTGACATCGCGCGCGCGCATCAGGCCATTGCTCGAGTGGAACCCGAAAGGGAAGAGGCGAGTGGGACGTCAGTGGAAGGGTGACATGGAGGAGCTCGTGTGAAGAGGAGTTGATAAGGAGCATGGAGTAACATGGCTGAAGGTGAAAAGTAGAAGACAGCATAAGACAGAAGCAAGTGGAGACGTGGAGTTGAAGCCGTATGTTCCACTAGGAACCCAAGGAAACAATAAAAATAAATAAAATGAATGGAGCCATAGAAGATGGCAGCTGCCGATAAGCGTTTGCAGCAGCCTGTTGGAAATCCTTTTCATGACATGCATTACAAGTTTCTGACTCATACAGAAGAACTAAGTGACTTGACATTGGCGTTGAAAATTCGAATCTTGTTCTTTAAACTGTATGAGGTTGATGAAGGCGCGCGTATCTTGTCTTTCCGATTCTCTCTGTCTGTCTGGCTGGCGTTGACATTCTCATTTTTCTTCTATATTATATATAATTGTATATTCATAAGTAAAAACACAGTTATTTTTGTTCAGCGAAGAGATTTCTTCATTCAACGACTTCATTTTCAAGCAACTGTACAGTCGTATTTATATTACAGAAAAAGGTTATTAAGTGACACTAAATAATTGCTCTGTCAATATACATATATATGTGAAAGAATAACGATAATTAAAATGGTATAATAGGTAGAGTTGAAGTGGATAAATTACAAAATTATTAAAGATTGTTTTATAAGTGGATTGATGTCAAAAATGGTTTAAAAATGTCAGGTGTTGTCTAAAAATTTTAAAAAATGAGGATTACGATTACGATAAGAATAAAGATATGAAGTGAAGTGGAAAGAATTCAAGAGGCAAAATAAAGTAATATAAAAACTAGAAAGAACATTACTATGACCAAGGCAAAGAAATGGGTTTGACAAAACATTTTGGAACACATAATTTAGGTTTCTGTTCATGTATAGCTAAAGCTTCGGCTAGCTATGCATAAGTGAAGAAAACGTAAACTTTTGGATCGATTCGATTTTGCCATGTAGATAACCCTGAAGGAAGAATCCTGTGGGGCTGAATGACCAGACTCTAACAGATGATCACAAATAGACGACTTTGCAGTTCTTCGCGTTCGCCTTTCATTAACCAAACCGGTTAGTGTTCAGCTACACGTTTTCGGAGAGTACGCTTACAACGTCCAATAGGATCAGCCCCACAAGAGCAGGTAAAAGAGTAAATGCACATAGATGATGTGGACATAAGCGATAATCTATGCTTGACACATTGTCTAATCATATTACCGCTGATAAAAACTAGATGCAAGTCAGCTGCAGGAAAAGTGAGTTGAATACATTTAGATAAACGATTTTTAATCAGTTCAGAAATGGTGCCACCTTTGAATGAATGACTCATAAACAGTTTTTTCTTTGGTACTGTGACTTGTCTCGGGGCGGATTCTTTCTTGATGTTACGTTCAATTAACCTAGTAGGATAACCGTTGTTAAGGAGATTTGATCGAAGGTTATCTAGTTCCCTATCGATTGTCTCTGCAGAGCAGATTTTACGAATTCTGGAGCATAACGAATGAATAAGATTTCTCTTTCTCCCTAAAGGTTCCCAACTGTTGAAGTTAGTGTAGCGCCCAGTGAATGTTAGCTTTCGGTAAATCGACCTTAACAGCATTCTATTCTCTCTTCCATCTAGCCTAACCTGAAGGAAGTGAAACGAGGAATTCGACTCTTCTTCGACGTGAAAAGCAAAGATGGGTGAGAACCATTAAATACTCTAAGACGTTTGGCAGTTGAAGAGTTTTCATCACATACAATGAAGGTATCATCAATATATCTTTTATACATAAACAAACTATCGATGGTTTCCTTTAGTGGGCCATTCTCTAAGCTTGCCATGAAGACGTCCGCTAAGAGCGGTCCTAAAGAAGACCCCAAGGCGACTCCATTCCTTTGATTGTAAATGACATAATTAAATCTAAATTGCATATATATATATATATATATATATATGTATTTTTCATTTCATTATAGAAATAGTTCATGAATGTCTTCGAATTGGCCTAAAAACGTCACCTATCCCATTCTCTCAATGTCCATCAACTTTTTCAATATTATATAAAATTTCTCATCAATGTGAAGCAGCTTCGACAGTCATCGATAAGTTTATGAAACATAAAAATAATAATAATACTAATAACTGTAATAATACTAATAATAATAAAAGTCATACTGAAACAAAGCGCTCCGATGTTCACCGATCACAATCAAGTGAACCAACCAGCAGAACTGGAGATAAAATACATTTAGGAAATATTATTTTCCATCATGTTGATAAAAGGAATAAAATTTATGAAAGAAAATCATTAACAGGAAAGAAGTTATGTCCAAAACTCAGGTAATTTTCAGTTATCTTCGATTTAATTTCATTGATTTTAATGTATTGATTTTTAAACGAATTATATTCATGCATATTTGAAGTATTGTAGACGTATGACTTAATTTCAATGTAGATTTTGTCACAGACTGACAGTAGTTAGAGGATCTGATAGAAAAAAAGGCTAAAAAGAGAGTTTAGATAAGATTTTGTACTTCCCTCGTACATTTACGTTTCCATGTGAACCTAGTGATCTTATTGAACAAACTTTAACCTTATTCAACCAATCAGATTGGTTTATTTAATTATTGACTATGCATAATTTTATCTGCTTTTGAAGTACATAAGTAGGATTCAGTTTTTTGATGATGAATTTGTTCCTACATATACAGACCAGTCTTTGCCTTCTTCTCATGCGTTTGCCGGTGAGTGAAGCCGAAGGTATTTAAGGGAGAACAGTCTTATTCTATATTCACAATTGACCTATTTATCACATTTCATCATGAATGTACCCACGTAATAATCTCCTCGGTTATAAAGTAATCATTGAACACCAAGGAGTACTAGACATCCGCCTTGTGCTAATTTACAAGTTTTCAGGAGTGTTCATTTACGAACTCAAAATGAGATTGAGTCAAGGACCTTCAGATTTTGAGGCCAGTCCAATGACTTTGGTCTATGAAATCATGTAATTCATGCAACTTTTATCTAAACTTAAGCACAACTAGAATAGAAAGATAAGAGCTCGGTTTTTTAAAACCAAGTTTCCCAATTTTTTTAATTTACACATTTCGAGGTGAAATGTCACCACACATTTCTTTGGAAATCAAAATTATTTATATCTCAATATATATATGGTTTGCTTAATAATATAAATAGTAATCAAAAAAGCAAAAATCCATATGTCATAGTATATACTACTATTTGACTGATATAAGTAGTTTGATATCATACACACGAATCAGTAATGCTGACTAGTCATATCAAGCTGGTCTAAACGGCGGGAGGCCGTTTCACTTACTTGTGGCCAAATTAATCACCGATGTGCACGAATCACTTAATCTCACTGAGCCGAATCAGCTGAAATCACCAGGTCATTGGGATGACCGAATCTATCTGCCTGGCATGAATTACTGTCAGCCAGTCAGTAATACATTGCCTTATATGCTCATATGTTCTTATATTGAGAAATTTTCTCGAATATATACAGTTTGAGGTCGTATCAATATGGAGTCCCGTAAAATTCTAACAACTAACCGATAAGCTGCTAACAGGGTGAACAAGCAGAATAGGCATATAATCAAAATACTCACCGTTGATGTCACAAACGGCGTGAAGGGCAAACTGCATATATATATATATATATATATATATATATATATATAGTTATTATTAAGAGAGGAAGCTTAGAATTTTGCCCAAACCAATATTCTTAAACGTTACATAAATGTAAGATATTTTAAATTAACGTATTTCTAACTTCGTCTAGTTTACTAGCTAACCCTAACCCATAAAACAGAGAAAAAATTGGGAGTGGGGCTAGAAACCCTACCCCATAAAATCATCCTAATCCCTACAGAAAATTCAACACACAGAAAAAAATATCAAAGAATTTATTTCAACAAAGCAAAAACTACAGCTTTTGCAGAATAAAGTGGTACCATCTTTTATTTCGTTGCCTTCTCATCAGCTGCTTACAGACCAAAGACATTCATTATTAAACATATATCTACAAAAACAATTTTGACATACTTACACGGAGTTCATTTTAGACAAAAATCAATCGGTCAGTATACGCAAACACGAATTATACATACATTTATATATGTAATATTAAACATTATTCCGAACAATAATAATCATACACAATGGAAACTTATCAGCATTTCGCATCCGGATGAAAGAGAGATGAAAAACATCCAATTACCAAGGCGAAGAAAGACTGATAATCGCTTCTTTCTGGATGCATAAATCAGGTTTCAGGCGCTTGATGGAATTGGCTTCAGAAAACTTGAGGAGAATTGAGCTCTTTTGTCTATTGATAAATTTGAATGCTTAGAAACATGTACCAAAAGCTTATGTCTAAGGGAACAAATGCTTTAAACAGTGCCATCGACAGGCATCTCCTTGACACGGGTCATAAAGTGGATGTCGCAAGGTCGTTCAAATTTATCAATAGGCAAAAGAGCTCAATTCTCCTCAAGTTTTCTGAAGCCAATTCTATCAAGCGCCTGAAACCTGATTTATGCATCCAGAAAGAAGCGATTATCAGTCTTTCTTTGCCCTGGTAATTGGATATTTTTCATCTCTCTTTCATCCGGATGCGAAATGCTGATAAGTTTCCATTGTGTATGATTATTATTGTTGTTCGGAATAATGTTTAATATTACATATATAAATGTATATATAATTCGTGTTTGCGTATATTGACTGATTGATTTTTGTTTAAAATGAACTCCGTGTAAGTATGTCAAAATTGTTTTTGTAGATATATGTTTATTAATATCTTTGGCCTGTAAGCAGCTGACGAGAAGGCAACGAGATAAAGGATGGTACCACTTTATTCTGCAAAAGCAGTAGTTCTTGCTTTGTTCAAATTCATTGGGGGGGGGAATAAATTTATGAAAGAATTTATTCTTGCTTAGACATCGAGGATGATTTATGTTTAATGTCACACAAACTAGGAAACCAACAAGTTGGCAGAAGCTGCAGCGGAAAACGGACTCTAAGTGGAAATAGAGAAGATGGGGGTGATGAAATCGCCTAACCAACAACAACAACAGCAAATACCAATCATTTTCGTTGGCAAAAATTTGAAAAGAGGTCGCTTATTTCACTTATCTAGTGGTCATCGTTTCAACTACAGGCGACAGCACGGATGAGGCTGTCAAAGCCAGTCATAATGGAATAAACAAGAGAGATCTTAATTCATCTGAAATCAGTTTAAAAATCGATTGGACTCAGCACAATGAACAAGATTCGGATTTCCAAGATTAATGTCAAATCGGTCACAGTCTCAGTATGCTCAAGAGACTTGACTTATCCTTCACCAAGAACATTTTTAGCAGGCCACTGAAGACGTTTACCAACAGCTACCTTTCCTGGCTGCATACTGAAGAACGAGTGATCTGCCAGGAAGAATTACCAGCAAGAAACTCTGCAGAGATGAAACAATCAAGAACCTACAGTTCAACACATATACTGCAGGAATTGGAGATGGACTGAACACAAGTTGAGAAGACCTTTGAATGATATCGTGATCCAGGCACAACCTCCAGTAGAACCTGATTAGGAAACTATGAATAAGGCATCCAAGAATGGCAAGCAGGGGATCATGTGAAGATGGGATAAAAGCATATGGGTAATTGTGGAACCAGCTAAAGAGGGAACAGGATGAAATGGAGGCGTTTTATTGAAGCCCTGTATTCCACTAGGAAGTTAAAGGAATCATGATAATAATAATTACGTATGTCTAAAAACTAAGACATCTAGAGTTACCGATTTTGTAACTTCTAGCAAGGGAATCCATACAGTGATTTTTATGATAATTAGAACTCATCAATTAGATATACCAGTACCCCCAGCACATGTTGGTTTTCCCAATGAGTCTCAAATACAGAAGCTTTCTTTTGAAATGTCAAAGTTATATTTACTAACCTACTGCGTCATAAGTAACTTTAGGTTTAAAACTATGGCCTCCGTTCAACGATCCATTTTGCGTCAGTGAGGCTGATCAATTTTGTTTGAGGAAATCAGCGGAAAATTACACATATAAATAAATCAATAAATATTATGACATATCCTAAGTCCAGGTAATGATCACGTTTGATAAGAAAGAAAAGCCCTCTTTACAGTAACTGTTCCATTGATTCATCACTTTTGAGACTTGTTCATTCTGCTAACAATTTGTCATCAACCTGTAATAAGGATGGTTTGTATTTCGAGCAGATGTTTTTAATGCCAGAGTATTCCTTGAGCTGAATATTCTAACTACAAAGTCTTCACTGGCTTTCTGTGAATAATCTCCGGAAATAGCTTTGAAATGAAGTAAGGTTTTGCAAATCCTTGATATTCAAGAATTAGTTTGAAGCGATTCTACTTGTTTCCTGTTAGTCCACAGACTGATATCGGTTAGAGAACTACTGAGAACCACCACCGAGCAATGGGCAGTTTTCTAATAGTAGTTTGGGGATCATCGGAAGTAAGCGCCCACTGGGGTTCGAACCCAGGACCTTCCGGTTAAAAGGCAAGTTTGTAGACTATTCAGCCACTGAGACCCGACTCAATGACCAACCCTTGAATTCTAACTTCTACCGATTCGTGATTTTAGCACAACTACCAACCAAACACTAGTGACTGACTAACGGACTAAGTTGCCTGGAGTTCTAGTGAGAGGTGGTGACCAGCGCCGCCCATCCAAACGGGAGTGAGGATGGATTTTACACCGATGACGCTGGCTGGTGGTCGCGCTAAAATCACGAATTGGTGGAAGTTGGAATTCATAGTCTACAAACTTGCCTTGTAATTGGGTCCAAAACCCAGGGGGTGCGTACTTCCGATAATTCCCAAAGCATGTCAGAAAGGCTGCCCAGCACTTTCTGGTGGTTGTCTTTCAATAGTTCTCTAACTGATATCGATACGGGATCTAACCTGAAATTCCAAATGATAAAATTAGCCTTAGATAATGGGTATTAGTAGAGATTGGGAACAATTTCAATGTAGATTTCATCACAGACCAACATCAGTTGGAGGAATCTTTAATAACGGGGAGTACTGGACTTCTTTTTCTTCCTATTTTCAAACTTTTGCGCAATGTGCTATCTCGATCCAACTAGGAGTCGAACCTGGGATCACTAAACATTCAGCCACTTGGGATAAAATTCAGTGACCCATGTATGCTAACTTTGTCACTTCGTGATATAGTGTCACACTGAAGCATTGCGTTGGATGAGTACCCACTACACTTTGATATGGTGGAACTCACTGCTCAAAACTTCTCAGTACAACTTCAGAACATTCATCCAATAACCATCAGTGAGCTAGAGATCAATATTTAGATAATGGGTTTCAGTAGGGAGCTTGATCTCATAACCTTAATATCCCGAGTTCGATCCCTTGCAAGGTCTTGGGTGTTCACTGTGAAGAGCCCTAAATAAGACGAAACAATTGTTCAGAGCTCCTAGATTTCCAATGATCTCTCTAACTAATGTTGGTTGGTGACGAAATCTACATACCTCTCCTTTTTGCTTGCCACTGAAATTTCTCCTATTACAGTTTCCACTAATACTGGTTGTAAGCGCAATATCACTTGAAATTAAGTCACGCGTAGATAAAGGCTATCCCAATCCAGAACAAACAAGAAGCCGGTCACTGTTTCTACGGTACTATTAATAAACAAATCAATAATTATATATACAACAAACCTTAACGGTTTCAAGAGTACTAAGCACAACACTTAACAGAAAGCAAGGTACCGCTATCAGAGCGGAATAACGATAAAGCCAAAATTGCGAACTAGCCGGAATCAGACACGACCGTTCAGGTAAGCAGTTAGTAGAAGAATGAACCCAAGTAAGGCAGGGCATAGAACAGAGAGTGGTTAAGCGAGATAGACAGAGCATAGGCACATAGATAGAATTTAATTGGCTACTTAACCAGGTAGGAAGATACAGATGAAGATCAATAAATAAGATAAACTCGACACAACAGTACAAAGTAAGACACGGGTCAGCAGAAATAACAGTTCACAAAGTACTCTGATTGGGTCATGAGTTCAACTGTCTGACTAAACGAATCGATGTAAAAAGACATACACACAGTTCATTAAACAAGGGGGATAGATACATTAGGCATGGATAATTGGGTTGCACCAACGCTAGGCTGACCCAGGACAGGGAATTGAATTGATCTTACACTGGTGTTCATCAATTTGTTAACTTTCAACAAGAGTGATCCATTTTTTTTTAACCCCAGTCCGCAGTTTGTATAACAGTTTGATTACCAGGCTTCTAGGATATCTATGTCATTTTCAGTATTTTCTTTGTTTAAAATTTCTATAAATTATTATATTATATTTGTTATTCTAAGTTGGTTGCTCTTTAAATGTTCCCTAACCAATAGTTGACTGTTAATGTACTTTTTTTCATCACTCTAATTTATTTAGTTATAACTCAAAAATCGCTTGGATTCATTTCGCTTTGATTGAAAGACTCCTGGAAAGTATTGTTCGGCACATCAGCAAGGAGGCGAAGTAAGCAGCGACTTTTGTTACTTTAACTATAACTCTTCTTCTTGCCCTGCTTGATACCTTCATGATAATGTTTAACAATGTATTCAATTATTATGAACAGTGGTGTTTTTAAATGTTGTTTCTACCAATATGTATGACTTAAACATGAGGTTTGACATTCCCAAAGGATGGCTAATATGTATAAATTTTCTGCTCCGACAGTGAATCATTAGTCTCATGAATATCTTAGCTGAAAAGACTTTCACACACTGAAACTAAATGATGTGCCTTCAAACAGGAGAGAAGTGCTTTTTCGAGAAGAGGCAGTCACCTACATCTTTCTGATGTGTTTTTTACAGACATCAAACGTCTCTGTCAGCTTTTCTGCAAACTGACTCCTAACTCCTCAATTCAAAATACGGAATGTGTAGGAGATTGTCTAGAGAGAGCTCATTAACATAACAAATATGCGAATAAAAATACAATTCATTGAGATGATAGAGTAACAATATATTATCCAAAAATGCAGTAATGAGTTATATTAACAAAAAGTATTACTTGGATATAATGTTAAAGTCCTCTGCTACAAATTATTAATATAATCCACGGGAGCGTTCACTTTTGGAATTGCGTCTACTGGTAGATGCTGTGGACCGGTTGTAGAGTTGTCTTCAGATAAGCATTAATAGACTCCTGCAATAAATCCAAAGTATACAACACGGTTATGAGTGGAGCAAGTAAGCAGTAATGGCCAGTGAGAAGACGAAGCTACCAACAGTATATTGTATTTTAAATTGAACTCGGAAGTTACATGAATCGTTTTAAACAAAAATAATGTACAATGTCTCTAATTTCAACATCTAACAAAAAGTGTACGAGCATACTGTGGCGTACTCCAAAAACGTGGCAATGAGTGTCAGTATCTTTGGAATTATACTAACCCTGAAATCTATGCTCCATCTGAAAGTTCACATACCTCTATTTTTATTCTCATTCATTTTGAGTGGAACATATGGCTTCAAGCTTTAGCTTTGAAGTTTCAATATTTGTGGCATTTCTACGGGGTGGGGTTGCTATCCTCACGTCCAACCTCCCCTCTCTCCCGGGCTTACTAATTATATTACATTATTATTATTTCCTCTAATTCTTAGAGGAACATAGAGCTTCAGCCGTGCGTCTCCATTGCGTTCGGTTCTCTACTAGAGTTTTCACCTGGCTCCAAGTCTGCCCACACGCTTTCATCTCCTCTTCACATGACCTCCTCCAAGTCACCCTTGCACTGATGACCAACTCGCCGCTTCCCTTTCAGGTTCCACTTGAGCAATGGCTTGTCTAGTTATGTCACTTGATGGTTTCCTCAGAGTATGGCTAATCCATCTCCATTTCTTCCTGCCTATTTGTTTCGCGATCGGTTACTCGTTGGTTCGGTCATTGCCAGAGATCCCTGTTGCTGATGTTTTCTGGTCGGCCATCTTATCTTGAGTAGTATTGAGCGAAGACAACTGTCAATGAATGTCTGTAGTTTGTTTGAGATGCTCTTTATGATGCGCAGTGCAAGTCTCTGATCCGTATGGTGGATAGCACAGACTTCACATTGGAGTTAAAAATCCGGATGTTATTTTTCATGGTGAGTGCTGTTGACTTCCACACAGACTTAAGAGTAATGAAAGCTTGTCTTGGTTTCCCGATCCTCGCTGCTTTGATATCCTCGTCAGTTCCGCCTGTAGTTGAAACGATGCTTCCCAGGTCGGTTGGTGAAGAAGTGTGTTTCTTTCAGGTTCCTCCCATTTACGCTGGCTGTTGTCTGTCGTTGTTGCTGTTGGTGTTGCCCGGGCTTACCACCAGCTCCTAATTTAGGTTTAGCAGTGCATCAACCAGGGACTGAAACCTAGACAACGTGGGTGATTGGTGAATATTCCACTGGTGAACCACCACTCCACTTATTCATAAAGTAGTAGTAATGCTTTTTTCTAAAAAAGAATTTGTTTTAGAATCTAATGTATATTAGTCTGAAAATTTATATCCTATTCATTTCAACCAAAGTGTTTTCCTTTAAGGCTTGAATCAAGTCCATGTGTATCGAAACACTGCATATAATCTTTAAAGATTAACAAGAAATTACAGTTGGAATTATTAATCAAACTGTCTATAACACAGTGATTCTCCTATGAGATCCTTTTAATCAATAAAGAGTTCATGAATCAGTTCAAGAAATAAAATCATGTTGATGAATATTCTGTTGGAACGCTGATCCTCCGATAATTTTTTTTGTCAGTAATCATATACTTTTCATCAGTCTTATTTTCTGAATACTCACTCCAGTGAACAGCGTTCTGAAAAAAACTCCGTCTGTAACCGACTTGTAACAACAGAAGACAAGGGTTAGCCAACAGATCGCTTATTGAGGAAATCAAGAGATATTTATGTATTTTTATGTACATTATTATTCGTTATTATTAGCAGAGAGACAGCATTTTCTGAATGGTTGCTTTGCTGCTGAAGGTTATTCTGTCATCTGCTAATCGTATCCGCCCACGCAAGGTCTTCTGTGATTGGTTGTTGAGTTAGTCTCTGTTCTTGTTTTTTTTCTCATGACCAAGATTTGGGACGTCAACATTGACGTAAATTGCTGTCTACCGATTTTGGCTAGCACTCAGCTCTCACGACAGACTGAGTAAAACGTGTGATAACTCAAGTATTGACCTGTTCATGTTTCTTATCTATAGATTGTTTGTTTTTCAATGGTCACATCATTTCTTTGCTTAGTATTAAGATTCAGAAAGTTGAAATGGTTGTTGCATTCCTGATTCATTGTAAAGTTAATATGAGGATGAGTTTTCATTGAGTTTTTAAAACATGGTTGATGATTAATCTATATTACTGTAAACACCAAACGTATCGTCAACATACTTGCAGTAATATGTGGTATTTTCTACTTGCTTCTGTTCAAGGTGGCTACTGCATAAACAGGCTCCACTGGTGAACCCATAACCACTCTGTCCATCCGGCGGTAGCAATAAAATAATATAATTTTTCCTTCACATTCCCAGTGGAACATAGGACTTCAAGCTAGAGGCTTGAAATTTCTGTAGTAGTGTTTATTTTTACATGATGGGGTTGCTAGCCTCATGCCCAACCTTTCCTCTTTACCAGTCTTACTATTGGTTTGGCGAGGTAGAGGAATGTGTCGACTGGGGATCGAACCCCAGACCATGTGCATGGTCAGCGAGCGTCATAACCGCTGTGCCACCGACGGTGATGGTGGTTATTGAATTTGAAATGAACGTTCTTTGTACAAAGAAGGAATAACTGTCTCAATTCATTTTCAGACAGGAAAAGTAATTCAGACTGCCGGCATATGATTTACAATATCTCTTCATCAATTAGATTGTTTGTAAATGATGCCAGAAAGTCATATGCTATCAGGAGTTTGTCTGAAATTTTCCAGTGATCCAGTTCATTTGAAAATGCAGATGAATCTTTGACACTATAAAAACTGACAACTTACTTAATTTTCAAATTTCCATTTAAATACCTAGAAAAATGAACAGATTGAGCGAAGAAATATGCATTCCTTTTCAATTAATTCCTCATAATCGGCTCTACACTAATGTGTAGTTTTTTACATCAAAACTTTTCACCAATCAAATGGTTATTTTAGTTGATTTAGTTAGTTTTATGGGAAAAAGGCGTTAAAAGCGAAGAAAATTTTCTCTTCGATGATTCATTTTTATGAGCTGTGCACAATCGTAATTATATTTAACGAAGAAATCTTTAGACTAATCAGATACACTTTTCCTCGAAAAGTTTATTACATAATGTAAGGTGTAAGGATGGACGACTAATTGTAAGTTAGAAAAGAGGCAGAAGTTGGCATGACGTAATAAGTGTGAGATAATGACTAACCAGTAAGCTCGTGTAGAATATCGAGTGGAACATACGGCTTCAAGCTTCAGCTTTGAAGTTTCAGTAGTTGTTGCATTTCTACGGGATGAGGATGCTAGTCTCACTCCCAACCTCTCCTCTCTCTCGGGCTTACTAACGGCTCCTAATTGAGGTTTAGGATTGTTTGAACCAGGGACTGAAACCTAGACCACGTGGGTAATTGGCAAGTATTCGAGTGATGAACCACCACTCCACTGATGTCAGCTCATGATGAAATCCTCCATTCAATCAAGCGAAATCCCTACAAAACCAATACTTCAAAATAATTCTGATGCTCACTAGCGACTGGCCCTATTCAGACAGTTAAACCGCGGTTCTAGTGGGAAGCCGTGACTAGTAGAGTACAGCAGGTCAAAGATGAAGTAGTAACTCATCGAAAAAGACAATGCGGAATAGTCGCGCTATGTCGTGAATTGGAAGAAGTTAGAATTCAAGAACCATTGGATCGGGTCCCAGTGGCTCAATGGTCTTCGAGGTCGCTTGCATTGTAACCGGAAGGCCCTGGGTTCGAACCCTAGCGGTGGGTGCGTACTGCTGAAGAGTCCCAAACTAGGACGAAACAGCTGTCCAGTACTCCCAGGTTTTCCAGTGGTTCTCTAACTGATGTCAGCTCATGATTAAATCCTCCATTCGATCGTGTAGAATAGACAAGAACTAGTGGAAAGGCGATAAAGTGTTTTTACATAAAACCTGTAAAAAAAAACAATGTTGTTAAGTTTGTTTCTACAAGTTTTACCACGGATTGGTATCAGTTAGAGAACCATTGAAAACCACCGGCGAGCAATGGACAGCTGTTTTATAGTGGTTTGGGAATCATCGGTAGCACGCACCCACTGGGGTCCGAACCCAGTGTAACAACAGAATACAAGGGCCAGGCAACAGATCGTTTATCAAGGATATCAACACGTATTTATATATTTCCATGTACATTATTATAGTTTATTCAAGAAAACAAACTCAGTCTTCTGATTGGTTGTTTCTCACTGCAAGTTAATCTTTCATCTTTTTGTAGCTGTTTCTTGAATGTCAGATCATCTATATACCAACTGTATCCGCCTACGCAAAGTCTTCTGTGGTTGGTTGTTGAATCAGTCTTTGTTCGTATTTTTATCACGACCAATATTGGGGACGTAAACATTGACGTAAATTACTGTCTGCCAATTTGGCTAGCAGCCACCTCTCACAACACCAGGAACTTCCGGTTACAAAGCAAGCTTGTACGCCATTCAGCCACTGGGACCTTATTTAAGTTATTAAATAATCAAGAATCGACTTATCTTGAATTACGTAATTAATTCTCACTCCTCTTTTCAAACTTAGATATCTTGGTACTAATAACTATTAGTTGTTTTTTTTGATGACCTATAACCTCTTAGTTTCCCCCTCCCTATGCCTAAAATTCACTAACTAAAAAATAACCATTTGATTGGTGAAAAGTTTTGATGTAAAAAACTATACAGTTGCGTAGAGCCGATGATGAGGAATTAATTGAAATGGAATGCATATTTCTTCGCTCACTCCTGTGTTATTTAATTTTATATACAGTGATAGTTAGGTTTCACTCATTTGCAAGACATTCAAGCAAAATCTCCTGCATTTGTTCAACTCATTCAGTAAATTATCAGGTTGAATCGGGATTGATTCGAGCCTTACCAAAAAACCCACTAATCTTTCAAATTCATTTATGTCATTTCTTTGACTTGCATTTCATATTAAGTCAAACACTTGTCTCATACTTTTATCACGACATAGAAACTTTAATATTGAAATAATAGAGAAGATTTGTAACTCCAGTGGGTGTTTTTGGTAATCTAGAGTTCTCTGAGATAGATGGTTTGACTGTGAAGCCTTCAGCACTTTCACCCCTTCCTTCGAAATGCGGCGGGCTATTGGAATTTTCCACAAGTGATATTGTCGTCCTCATTTTTGACTCTGACTGTTGCTTTTTGTCCCCAGAGCTTTTTTGTAATTCTGCATACGAAGATGAAAAGACAGTCCACTTAGATCACCATATTGTCTTGCCAGTTGATGCAATCTCTCTTGTAGATGATGTTGCTTTTGTCCTTGTTTACTGTTAGTTCATTTGATTTATACGATATAGAGTAAAGCGAGTGTGCCGGATTTATGGGTGACATACATATTTTAATAATAATAATAATAATAATTTGCTTTATTCCAAAAACAGTACTAGTGGTACAGTGTGGAATTTTCAGCACTTATCTACAATATTGCATCTAATTTTATCAAGTATTTAAAAGGAGTATTTCGAAAAATAAATATAAAAAACAACAACAACAAAAAAACACAAAATAACAAAAATATGCGAAAAAAAAAATACCAAGAAGTAGAATGGAAAATAAACAACATAATAAATAATATCTCAGTATTGGTTAGTGGAAACTTAGTTATGTTTATCCGTAGTAAAAATATATAATACAAGGAGTTATGAAATGATATTAAGAATTATTGAATTGAATTTTTGATTTTCCCGTCGATTGATTGGACCGAAGTGCTCGGTCTCAGGTTGACATGTCAATTCAATAATTAATATGACCCGTTGCACAAGAGGTGGCTCTCGTGGCCCAAGTGTTCTAGTGGATAACGCTTTGGCGTTTGAAACTATGGGTACTGGGTTCGAGCCTCGGTGGGAACATCATCACTCACTGAGAAATGCAGGTACATCCAGCTGACGAGTCCCAAATAGGACGAAATGCGCATCCTGGATTCCACTGCTAGCCACCATCCACCAATTGTATGATATTAAGAATGTTTGTCGCCATGATGATCAGTTAATTTGATTGAACAACACTAAACAATCATAAAATAAATATTTCAGGGTTTTTATTTTTATTGTCAGCACTAATACAGTGTTTGTTGTGGTAGTGTGAGTAATCCTGCATAATACAAAATGTTTTAGATGGCAGTAATGACATTCACAACCAAGACTGCCAGTTAATCATTGCCGAACAAAAACCAACCACAAAACTAATATTACATGAAGGTTAGTGACAAGACAATTTTGTAATACTCATAGTGCTAATATAGTCGGAACCAGTAAATACACAAAAGAAAGAATAGAATAAAGAATAAAAAAGTGAGCCAATGATAATAATTTTAGGTAGCTAAGTATGTTTAAGAAGGTTGTTCACTATAGAGTACAAATAAGAGAGTATAAGGGAGAAATAAAATGGCCAAAATTATGTTATTACCAACAAAGCAAATCATAGGTTTCGCGCTTAACATTGTCTCTGTCTCACTTAGAACGCGGGCTGGCCAAATATGGTATCGTCGAGTTCGTATACTTGGTTGTACGAGCATATATATTATTTTGTACTGATTTCTGGTTCTACCTGATGAGATACAAGGAGAGAGTTGCAGTAGGCTAGCAGTGATTTCAGAAATATTCTTCAATTATGATACGATGTAATTGCTCTTATTTTATTCAAGATGAATATCATTCTTTTTTGTATTCCATCCACTTCTACCCTATTACCAGTCATGTTTATTGATTTTTGTGATATTTTTATTGATTGAGCAATTGTTTTTCAGTACTACTAGCTATCACTTTATGTAACGCAAATACTAATGATGTACAGCTTAGAAGATAAACTCGTCAAATAAAGGAATATTTCACCTCTGGATAAATTTTTTTTGTTCAACGTATTCCTCATTATTTTTCTGATTTTCTGTTTCAGAGATCTTTATAATTCTGACAGTATTATTGCAAATGAATGTGAAGTGAACGTGTTCTTATCACTACTGAGTAAGGCACTTTTATAAATTTTTTATATATACTTCTTGTAAATATGCATATTCTAATGTTGGATTTTTGTGAATTGAGTTAATTTAAACGAAAAGTCAATGAAAGTGATAGAGAGAGAGGTGAGAAGCTGTTTTGTTTCACTGTGTTAAGAACTTCCAAGCAGTGCGTTAAAAGGTCAAAGCTACGCTATCCAAATTATTATCATGATTCTTCTGCTTCAAAACTTCGAAGTGTCAGTACTAATGGTGTTCTTTTTTTAAAGAGTCGAGTTGCTAGCCTCACTCCAAGTGTCTCCTGTTTAGCGGGCTGGTTGCTGACCTAAGAGAAGCTTAGGAGTTTAACCCTGGAACACGTGAGGTATTGTTGGCGAGTGTTCTACCAAATAAACCACTGACTGCATATATCACCATAAGACTAAAAATTGAAATTCAGTTATTGAAAACAAAACAAATAGTTCAACGTAGAGACTCTTTTCGACGAATTCACTTACTTAGCTGTACAATCACATTTATATATACTTATTTTGTGCGTGTATGTGTACATCAGGTTTGTTCAATAAGAGTAAAGATAGTTTAGGTTTATTGTCGTCAAGGTATTTCATAAAAATGTGTGGTTTAGTCAAACTTTGACTACGATGGAAGGAAGACTGGTAAGAGGGTATTGGTAATGTTCTATTGTGGGGAACTTGATATGATTATAAGCAATAAACTGTCCTCGAAACGTTGTCATCAGTAAATATTACGGTATTACACTTTGAGAATATCAAAATAAGTTTAAGCCACAATGGAATTATACTCTACCATAATGCTCAAGTTCTATTCTTATATCAATGATACGTCGTGGTGTGTCAAAAAACATAGTTATTTGAATAAAGCAAGAACAACAGTGGTGGTTTGTGCAGAATAATATAGTACCATCATTTATTTCGTTGGCTTCTCATCAGCTGCCTACAGCTTACATCAATTATGAGGTTTACGTACAGAAACGCTTTAACATACTTGCAAATTTTACATGTTGTCAGTTGACAGAAAGTTCCACAATTAGTGAACAGTGCTCAGAAAATTGCGCCTATATAGTTTTTACATATGCAGTTCAAGTTTAAACAAAAATAAACGTATGCATACAATGGTAAAGGAGTTACGTAATAAAGACGAGAGTTGCGTACGATGCTGAGTAACTAATAAATTGGGTAACCGTGTACTGAGTTCAACTCAAATCATAGAAACAAGAGACAAGCAAAATTACAGATTATAAAAGGGGGTGAGGTTAAAGACCAAGATTCAGTAATCAAATGAAAGAGAGAATAAAGACATTTAGCTACCAAAATGGGCAAGGAAAGACTGATAACTGCCTCTTCTTTCTGAACACATAAATCTGGTTTCAAGCGTTTGATAGAAATTGCTTCGGCAAACTTGAGGAGAATTGATCTCCTTTGTCTATTAATAAATTCGAAGGATTTCGCGATTTCCACCTCATGACCCGTATCGACGAAATGTCTGGTAATAGCACTACTATAAGAATTTGTTCCCTTGAGACGTAGGCTTTTCGGCACATGTTCAGACAATCGAAGGCGTGCCCTTCTTTCTGTTCTCCCAATGTAACTGCTCCCATAGATACACGTAAATATGTATACACTTTTGGAGTTAACATGAGTGACATGGGTATCTGTCACCTTTTGACTGCATCAAAGAGCATATTGTTCGATGGACGGGAACCAACTTAGACTCAGGATAGGCTGTGGCTAGTGACGTACTCAGTCTTCTGTTGACCATCGCTGCAATGTTTTCACCTTTAAAATCTAGTTCAGTGAAGACAGGCTTTTTTCAACTGTGATTTGTTTGATATCTGAGCCTTCACATCTTCCATGTTTGTCAATGACTCTTTGAGGATAACTGTTGTTTTTCAACACCTTTTCGAGAATCGTAAATTCTTCCTCTAGTTTCTCTGCACACCATATTGTCCTCGCTCTATAGTACGGAGTCTTGATTAGTGCTCATTTATAGCTATTTGGACAAAACTATTAAAGTGTAAGTGTTGTCCATTCCATGTCAGCTTTCAGTAAAATGACCTCTGGAGACTACCATCTTCTAGGCGTTGCGTGCCAATGTCGAGGAAGTGGAACTTTCCATCATTTTCATATTCCCTAGTAAATTCAATATTTGTATGTGCATCGTTGAATAATCTGAGTAGGTAAGAAGCATGATTTTCATTATTGCACACTACAAATGTGTCATCGACATATCGACAATAGGAAGTTGTTTCGTCGATCGCATGCTTCAACTTTGTTTTGTCAAGGTTTGACATGGAGATATCTGCTAAAACATGGCTAAGTGGACTGCCCATAGCTACACCATCTATTTGTCGGTAGTTATTTATGTCAATCAACCAACGCAAAGAAGTTGAACAGGCGTAATATAATTACGTAATAAGATGAATAGTTTAATGAGTTAGTTGTGATTAGGATGCACATAGAAAGAAAAGAAGAAAATATGGAAATATGTAAGAGTTCTACAAATTACAAATGTTAAAGGAGTTAGAAACAAAAACAAGCACACCAACATCAAGTGAGTAGAAGTCAACACTGTTGTTACCAAGATAACAGAAGTGGTTGGAGCATTTTACTTTCTATGCATAACTCTTGTTTCTCCAACTGTATGACTGAGGCTTCAGCAAAACAAAGGAGACGAAGGCGTTTTGCCTTTAGTAGGTTGTTCTTCACTCTGTAGATCATTCTGAAAGAGGCGTTTGTTGAGATGGAATGACCAGTTTTGGTGAGATGTTCGACTGTGGTACTGCTCACACAGCCACTATTACCTGTTTGCAACCATGCGGGATAGTGTTCTTGAACCCTTTTTGACAGGACACACGTCGGACAAGCAATGTACCTTGCTCCACAGCAACAGATGAACTGATATATGCACACAGAAGTGGTCAGATGCGAGATTTTGTCCTTAAGGCTTCTGTATATCAATGGGTGACTGGAGAATACTACTCATAACGTTGCGGTGAAGAGTGTTCTTTCCAAAGATGCTGAAATTCTTCTCTTGAGGATATCGCAAGCAAAGTCTCCCATGAAATCCAGATTCATGCAAAGTATCCTTTGTACGAAATTAGTGATGTTTCGTTCCTCTGGACCTTTGGTTTTAATATTCTTGTCGAAGAATCTTGGTGGGTATCCATTTGGGAAGGAAATTCCAGTTCTGCTTCGAGGGCGTCAGAACTGCAGATTCGTCGGATCGGAGTGGCAAGGGATTTAATCAGATTTCATTTCCTCTCCATAGTTACTTAGCTGTGGAAATTTACTAGTTGACCGTTGCAAGTGGACTTTCTATGATTGATTTTCTTAAGGTTCCGTCAGGTCGTCATGTTAGTTGCACATCAATGAGGGGAATTTTAGATTCGCATTCCACTACTGGAGTGAATTTTATTGCCGGATGATTGTTGGAAAATATTTTCAGCAAATCTTTTGGGCGTAACTGTTGTCACAAACGACAAAAAATCCATCTATGTATCTTTTGTAAAATTGCAAATTGTCAGTGGAAGACTTGAGTGGGACGTTTTCAGCCTAGCCATGAATCACTTTACTAGTCAGTTATTCTTATCGGACAAACCTGATACAGACACATAAACATATAAAATTATTATTATTGTTCCCTTGGGTTCCTAGTGGAACATAGGGCTTCCAGTGCACGTCCCCACTTGCCACTTCTGTCTTCTGCTGTCTTCTACTTTTCATCTGCATCCATGTTAGTCCATACTGTTTCAAGTCCTCTTCACACCATCTCCTCCATGTCACCCTTACACTGACGTCACACTCGCAACTCCTCAGCCAGTGTCCGATCCATCTCCACTTTCTCCTGCATATTTCTTGGTTGGCGATTGGTTCTTGTTTTGTTTGTTCCCAGTCAGAGTTTCTTGTTGGTGATTCTTTCCGGCCCAGCCATCTGATCTTCAGTATAGAGCCAGCGAAGACAGTTGTTAGTTGATGGAGGTCTTCAACAGGCTGTTAGAAATATTCTTCGTGACCCACCCGTCAATTTTCTGATCCGTTCCGTATAGAAGAGCTGACTGACTTGACGTTTGTATTGAAAATCCGACTGAATTTTGTTGTTGATGCTGGCTGAGTGACGAAGATTTCCAGATTGGTTTCAGGTTGATTGATGAATGTGTTTCTCCCTTCCCGATTCTCGCTCGACTTGACATCCTCGTCCGTCCCAACTGCCTGTAGTTGAGACAATGCCCAATGCTAGATAAGTGAATGAATGAAGTTACCTCTTTCAAATCCCTCGCGTTGATGGTGATTGGCGCTGGATGTTGCTGTCGTTGTTGTTGGTTGGTTGGTTATTTTCATCACCTCCGTCTCGTCTATGTTCACCTGGAGTCCTGTCTTAAGGGGCTGCTTCTTCGACCATTTTGTCAGTCTTTTCGCTTGTAAGTCTTCGATTTTGTGACGGTGACATCAAACATAAATCATCCACGCGCGAAATCCATGTCTTCTAGGTTCTTCACGTCTATCTGTCCAGGATATTCCCGTCTTCTCGTTTCCCACTGTTTGACGCATAAGCAAACACACAAGAATAAGTACGTGTAATTGTGATCGTCGAAAAGAGACTCTTCTCTGAACTATGTATTTTCTTTTCATTCATATCTGGATGGGGATTACTCAAGAGAATTTCAAATACTTCCCTTAATTCGCTATATTTAAACTGTTTGGCTTCAGTGGTCACAATCTCTTTCAATGAAACCTCAGGAACTTCATTTTGAAGTTATTCACAAGTGGAAACTAAAATAACATTAAAATACTGGCTTAATAAACGTGATAAATATTGAATAGTAAGAGGTACTTATCTCTTAATGATTGGTCAGTCCAAGTCTGAATATTTATTTGCTTGATTCATACTTGATTGAGCTAAGTATTTAGTTTCCTGTGATTTCGTGAGTTTTCTGTAATGTAGAGAGCAAAGGCCATAAAAAAGACACTTGTGCACCACTCGTTGTTCCTCATGGTGCTTATATTGAATGTTACTACAATTACTGAATAGCCATCTTAAGAGTTTATTGGACAGAACAGTCATTTTAAAATATGGAATGCCGGGCTGAAAACCTTATACTTCAAACCAATGACTGGACGTTTCGAATCAGTATTCTTATTGCTACTGTTATTTTACATTGGAGAATATCATGCATTCTGTCAAGATTGAAATGTCCACGTAACCCTTTAGAAGTTGAATTTTTATAAGGTGTGCATGTTGCTTGTGTCACAAGAAGCTGTAGTGGAATATTCCCACTTTATTTTTTACAACCAACCTACTTGCTCTCACAAGAACGCGTAGAGGCTCATTTAAAACAAAGATCTTTCAAGTTTTCAGTCCTATATAAAGTTTTAGTCTAATTTTATTTCGGATCGCTTTATTTGTTCTGCTGAAATCTTACTTTGTACTTAGTACGTTAAAATTTACAATTATACAACTGTGCAATGTCTGACTAAAGAGCCAAGGTTTCCGAAATATTGCTTAGTGTTTTTATAATTAAAGTGCATTTCCAGCAATGGGTTGTATAAGACAACTGAAGCATCTTCAGTTTAAAGTTTGGCCATGGATTGATATCAGTTAGAGAACCATTGAAATAAAACCACCAGGGAGTACTGGACAGCTTTTTCGTCCTAGTTTTGAACTCATTGGCAGTGCGAACCCCCCCCTAGGTTTCAAATTCAAGACCATTGAGCTTCAAGAAAAGCTCGTAGACCATTCAGCCATGATTCTCTAACTGACATCAATCCGTAATGAAACTTGGAGCGACTGATGCAGTTACTTTAGGTGTTGTTCTGAAGATGTGAAAAGACTCTGTACAACAACATTCTTAATCAACCGAAATCTGCTCTTGCAGACAGTGTTATTCTTAGTTCTGAGATACACACATCACTGATGACGGTGGTGAGTCTTAGTTTGTAAGTGAATTTCAGATATTCTTCAGGCTTGACGTAATATTTTCTTACTGCATAATTTTAGGTGGTCCATGTGCAATTAGCTACACTACAACAATACATGAAGACTATTATTGGTCAAATTTACACGCGGATGAATTGATTGAAAGACAACGTTTCACTTCGATAACAAGTCAAAATCAAATCATTGGAAGATCTTCACAAGTCTGTCAGAAAACGAAGGTATCGGTTAAAATTGTCCTTTTTTTTAAGTTCACTCTCTCTTCAATTCGGCAACATTAAAAATGAATGAAAGAGAAATAGCAGGGTAGCATGTATCGTGAAAAATAGCCAATTAAGTAACATTGTGGTGAGAGCAGACTGCTAGCCAATTGGTAGACAGTTATTTACGTCAATGTGTGTGATCCAAATATTTTTTTTATTTCCTTCACGTTTCCCAGTGGAACATAGGGCTTCAAGCTGGAGGCTTGAAGTTCCTGTAGCAGTGTTTATTTTTATACAGGATGGGGTTGCTAGTCTCATGCCCAACCTCCCCTCTTTACCAGTCTTATTACTGCATAAGTGAGATAGAGGAGTGCGTCGGCTGGGGATCGAACCCGGGGCTATGTGCGTGGTCGGCACCATGCTAACCCCTGTGCCACCGAAGCACAATATTGGTCGTGAGAAAATATGTACAAAGACTGATTCAACAACCAATCACAGCGAACTTGGCGTATAGATTATCTGACATTCAAGAAACAGTCACAAAGAGATGTAAAGTTAACTTTCTGTGAGAAACAACCAATCAGAAGAGTGTGTTTGTTTGCTTGAATAAGCTATAATAATGTACATGAAAATCTATAAATACGTGTTGATTTCCTTGATAAACGATCTGTTGCCTGGCCCTTGTCTTCTGTTGTTACAACATTCATTCTGTCATGATTATAGTCAGATAATTACCAGTTTAGTAAATGCACTTAATGGTCTCCAGTCGTTATGCATTACCTCTATGTTCAAAATGTTTGCAGACTAGCTAGCAATTATTTTTATACAACAAGACTCATATTAATATGTCATTTCTTAAATCGGTAAATTTATACTATAGGAAAATTTTGTCCGTAGGAAAACTGTGGTGTACAACATAGTATGACTATCTGTCTCACAAACCTGAACATTTATAGGCGAAAACCAACATACTAACAGAAGAGACAGGCGGCGAAGACAGGATTACAAGTGGATATATAGAAGACAGAGGTAATGAAGATGCCGAACCAACAACAAGCACCAATCACCGTCAACAGCAGAAATCTGAAAGGAGTCATCTCTTTCACTTACCTGACCGGGTATCATCGTTTCAACTACACATAGCATAGACGAAGATTTCAAAGCTGTCAAAGGATAGAAAAGGCAAGACAGACCTTCAATAAACTGAAATCAGTATTAAAAAAACAAAATTCGGTTTTTCAACGCTAGCCTTGAGTCATTTCTTCTATGTAGTGATGAGACTTGGCGTGTCATGCATGATATGCATTCTCAAGAAGATACTGCAGACCTTTATGAATAGCTGCCTTTGCTAGATACAGAATATTGGAGGGCAACATGGGACTCTGTCAGACAACGAACCAAACTAGAACCTATTATCCAATATATTCACCGAAGTAAGTAGAGATCTATCAGATGTATGCTGAGGAGACTGTTAAGTGACACTAAACACCAGGTCCTTGAGTAGAACCTGAGGTGAAAATGAAGAGTTGGGTGTTGTTCTGACGGTGATTTAGTGGAAGTCACATGAAGCGGAAAAAAAAGCTTGTGGGCGATGGTGGAGTCTTCTAGGAAAGGCTGCAGAGAACAGAATGAAATGGAGGTATGCCACTAAAAACTCTATGTTTCACATAAGGGAATAATAATGATATATACTATAATGCCTAATGGAGAAGTAATGATAATTTATATTTTGCCGAGAACATGTACTGTTAAGATTTATTATTATTATTCCCTTGCGTTCCGAGTGGAACATAGGGCTTCAACAACACATCTCCACTTTGTTCTATCTTCTACCGTCCTATTCATCTGGGTCCACGATCAACTAAACTCTCCCTTGTCTTCCTCACACGATCTTCTCCGTGTCACCCTCACACCGACCACCCACTTCTCGCTTCCTATTAGGATTTCACTCAAGAACCTGGTGTGTGATGTCATTCGGCGGCCTACTCAATGTATGCCCGATCCATCTCCATTTACTTCTACATATCGGCTCTCGCCTGCTGCAGCGGCAGCGAAGGCAACTGTTGATGAAAGTCTGCAACCTGTTGAAACCTCACCTAGTTAACTAGCTCGCTATTTTTCTAACCGGTCTTAAGCCGAGGTAAAGAGGGATGGTTGGGCATGGGGCTAGTAATCCCACACCACTAAATCTTTCAAACTGCTAGAGAAACTTCAACACACAGAAAATATATTAAAAGCACAAAAACTTCAAATGACAACAGTCTTATTCTTCGCTTAAATCAGAGAGACGAAATGATGTGGGCTGGTGAGAACCTTCAGGAAGCCATTCAGCCAGCCGATGTGTCTTCTCTCTATGAAAGCAAGAGTAAGAATGGGTACGTTGAAGAAGTGACAGCAAATGAAGGATAATATGTTTTAAGGACAGAATGTTCATGACATTTTTACGAAGTGGACTAAAAGCCATAGTATATTACTGAATCCTTCTTGTTCAGTCTCCAATTTTACAATTAAAAAAGAAATTCACTTGTCAAATTATTCTACATAACAAGTATATCATTATAGAATGATTAATATGAGTGCATGGAACTGCCTTAATCATAAACTGCAGGTAACTAAAATTCCTATACTGATTAGAAGACAATGAACTGAGAAAAGAAACCAATCATTCAGTTTCCTACTAAGCATTTTAATAATTCTACCACTCATTCTGTCTTCTTGTTTCTCAGCATGCTAACCTTAGGTTAGTTAGGTGCCTGTTTTGGTAGTGTCTGAAGATTAACATAATGTTATTTTAGGTCACGCGATTGGCCCAGTGGACAACTTTTTTGGCGTTCCGAGCGGTAAGTGTAGGTTACCAGTCTCAGTGGAAGCGACATTACACACGAGGGATTTATGTACGTTCACCTAACTAGTCCCTAACGAAATATGCTTCCTGTATCCCACTGCTAGTCACGATTACGAGAAAGCTACATCACTTTAGTCTTTAAACATCGTCAAAGCGTTTGAACTAGAAGCTGATAGTCAATAGAGACTAGGCATTACAGTACAGTATAGTAATCAACAGGAAATAAAAATTAGCCTAAAATTAAATAATCCTTGTTTCTAAAGGTTATAAATGGAGATGTGTGGAACTGGTAAAATTAACCAATTGACTAGAGCCGAACCATTAGCTATCTCTGAGGTTCACCTACATCACTGAGAATGACAGTGCTATTAATAAGACTCGAGCTCCGCGCCTATTAATTTAAACTTCAGAGAATTTTAGGCTAGATTTCTGAACCACTGAAATTCTCATCTTAAACAGTGAGCATCAGTTATTGATCTAACTGAATTTGAAATGATCTGTCTTTAGAACAAAATCGCTTCCTTGATATCATTGTTGACTGATAACAAATAAAAGTGGCATAAAGAATTCTCAATATTTCCCTATTCACAAAATTAGCATGAATGGTGCAAATCCCGCTGGGTGAGTACTGATGAAGAGTCCCAAACTAGGACGGAGGAAACAGCTGTCCAGTACTCCCAGGTTTTCCAATAGTTCTCTAACCAATGTCAGCTCATGACGAAAATCCTGTAACCAATCAAATCCCCACTAACCAATACTTGAATAAACATTATTTGTTAACTGCTGTTATGGTTTCGTCATCAGAGATGTCTAGGTGCATCTGGCACACACACACACGTATCTTAGACCAGATTGTAACACCTTAATATGAATGAATTCCAGAAATGCCTAATGCTGTTAAATTTTGTCATAAGCCAAAATCATTGAGACAGATCACTGGAAACCAAGAAGAACTGGAAACTTGTTTCCTCCTATTTTTGAACTCTTCGTCAGTGAGCACCCGAGATCACACAAGGAGTCGAACCCATGACCAAGCTTGTTGACTAGTCAACCACTTGAACTGGAATTCACCTCGTGGTACCTTCACCGATGCCTTCGACTGTCATCCACTTCATCTTGAGATATTGGACTCCACCGGTCATGAATTCCATAGTAGCATCGTGTGTTCGTACATCTGATGAGTCCAGAGATGGGACGAAACGGTGTCCACTACTCCATAGTTTCTGGTGATCTCTGTAATTAATGTTGATTTGTGGTGAATTCTAACAGCTGAAATTCAATTAATCCAACCATCCCCTCCCCCCCCCCACACACACACAAATCTTATAATCTTAAACTAATATTTTACTTCTTTTTATTCCACAGTCGTGTTTCCCTGAGAGTTATAAAAGTGTGGAACAGAAATTTGAAAAGTTAACAAGAATTGGCAATTCATCCTCTCTATCAGACTCTTCATTTACGGATAACAGTGTTGACAGCTGTACCAGACAAGAAAAAGCACTCTACTCTATGGAAAGAATAATGTGATGGTATGTTTATTAAAGTGTTTAGCTTAATTCTGCATTAAATTAAATATAATTAATAACTAAATTATCTCTCATTTAGTGTTCGTCATCGGTATTGTTGTGATTTATGACTGTTTATGTATTTCAGTGAAAGCTGAGCTGAATGTCTGCAGAGGCAGTAGATGACTTCAGGGTAAGATTTGCTTCTATCCGTATTTAAAAGGAGGTTGTAACAGTTGGTAATTCCAGCGATTTTCAGAGAGGAGGAACAGCATAACTTTTCTTGTTGATTTACATAAGTAGTAGTTCTGTGAATTTTTTATCTTAGGTCCATAACCATATTTAATCATGTGGTTATAGTTTGATACTGATGGGGTTTAGGATAAAACATAGTTTCGCAGTGTCTCCTTTACTGTTTTACCATTACTTCACACCCTTTCCATCATTTAATATCCGTCATATCTCAACTTCTAATACTGTACCATCTTGAATCCTTGTTACACACTGTCAGTATTAAGTTGGAGTGTTATTCTTACATTATGACATTTTTGAAGATTTGGATTAACTTCTGTGTAGATTTCGTCACGAAATATCGTGAAATTCTTCAGATATTCTTCCTAATATGGGACTCATTCCCTGAAAAACTTTGTTTGTCGAACTACATGTACACACGGTTGAAGAGTCTCGGACTAGAATGAAACGTTTGTATTTTAGTGATTCCTAGCTTTCAAATTTCTCTCTAAACGATGATGTTTCATGACAAAATCTGCATCGGGAATATTATATTATTTGCTCTGGATCGAATTTATGGTATCCTGTTGTGTCATACTACTGAAAATTTGTACTTTGTATGTGCACGAATGAATTTAAAGTTAATTGGTGGATGGTGACTAACAGTGGAATTAAGGAAGCACATTTCGTCCTATTTGGGACTCGTCAACTGGATGTGCCTGCATTCCACAGTGGGTGATTTTGTTCCCAGTGCCCATAGTTTCAAACGCCAAAGCGTTATCCACTAGACCACTCTAGCCACCTCTTGTGCAACGGGTCATATTAATTATTTAATTGAATTTTAGATTTTCTCGTCGATCGACTGGAATGAAGTGTTCAGTCTCAGGTTGACATGTTGGCCTCTGCTAGTCACGATCTACCAATTAACTTCTAATTACCTGCCCAGATATCGTCGAAGCATGTGCACAAGAAGCCGACATGTCAACCTCAGACCGAGCATTTTGGTCTAATCGATCGACAGGAAAAATCTAAAATTGAATTAAAGAAATGATTGAATTAAGTTTAATATTAATAATAATAACAACCGACCTATTTAGAACAAAATATTTACACAGCGTACAGAGTTTTCAGCGATATTCATCCAATATCTTTAAGTAAATTGGCAATCTAATAATATATCATGTTACTCAGGGCCATTTAACTTGAAGCAATGACTGACTAATCTCCGCGATATGCTCACCAGCACCTTGAAAGCTAATTAAAATGTACGTGAGAAAATTTCACAACTCAAGATTTTAACTAAAAGGTTAAGACAATAACTATTAGAGACAATATGATGCTATGTGTTGGAGATTCAGGTAGACCAGTGATTCAAACAGGCCATCGTGAAATTGGTCAGTTTTGTTTCAAATTATACTGTTTTAAAGATGTGGAAACCCACCTTAGTTTGCGTTGATTTCACCAATGAATTATGTAGAATCATTTGCATTTGCTAATGACATAAAATTTCCAATTTTGTTGATGACTTAATTCTGTCTCCCGTGTTAATTGGTATAATATGGTGAGCGATAATAAGGTTAAGCATAGAGTGCTAGTTAACATTGAAGAAGAGTCAATCAATGAGGTTTTAAAGTTATATTTATTGGGATGTCTAGAACATTTGTTAGGGTATGATAAGCCACAATCTTCTTTGTCGGCGGCCTGCTTAATACTTGCACTACCGAGAACCTCCATCAATATATTGCATATTAGTTTCTTTTATTCAGTTGGTTTAAATCTAGTATAATATAACCTCTAATAGAAGCTTTTACTCTGGCAAGTATTTAAAACATTTACAAACTGCTGATTTGCAAGTTTCTACTGAACATGAGATAAAGCATCATCCTTTAAGGAAGCATATCGCCGTACATGCGATAACTGTTCTTGAGCGGTGTCCTTGGTTCTCAAAATGTACTCCCGCACTTTTGTAACTGGCATTCGACAACATTTGAATAAGGCATTTAGAAGACAAATTTCGTGAGATGATATCGTCATTTCGTAGTTTCTTTACAACCGCTTTACAACTAGCATGGTTAACAATAACAAAATAAAATAAAGTTCATGACAATTACTCAGTTAAATAAAAAACAAAAGTACATACTAATGACCAATCATATTTAAATAGGTCAAGTAGTCACTTCATGGTGGGCGAAGGTTGAAGTCTATTGTGCTTTGTACACATAGTTTACGATGTATGCGATTAATCCAAAATGCTTCCATCACTTTCAATAATCTTGAAATAGAGTTATGTGAAATAATTGTGAAGCAATCATTAATATTGACTTTGTGACCTGACATTCATAATTGCTTTACAAAGGATGATGATGGATTTCCATTCAGATTCCTATCGAGTATAAACGTTCCATAGCGAAAAGTTTGTTTTCAAAGACCCGAAAAATATTCAAGAGCGACACACTGATGGATGAACTTCGACATATACATTCAGTTTTATTAGCTAATGGTTATCCAGAAAACTTTATCAATTGTCACAGTAACGGTAGACCACATCTTGAAAAGACAGCTTCTGTACCAAGGAAAGATATCTACCTTTATTAACCTACCATTCAAGGGCGACTAGATTATGCAGTTGACAGCTGACTCAAAGACTTCGGTCAGCCATGAAACGCACATTCTACACTGAATCTCTTTCTCTTACTTGCCGAACTTTTCAATCCCTGTACCTACGATTAAAGACGAAATTCTGTGACTCTACTTCAGTGTGTACCTACAAGTTCACCTGTAGCTGCGGTGACACACACTATATAGGTAGAACCAACAGAAGGTTCCAATGTTGTTGTCGAAAAGAGCATGTTCAGAAATGGCTTCTAAATCACATCGAAAATCCCAACGCGATTAACCTGAATAGAAATCCATCATCATCCATTGCAAAACGCTTAATAATGTTACGTCACTGAATCAACACTAATGACTGTTTCACAATTATTTCACATAACTCTAATTCAAAGTTGGTTATTGAAGGTTATGGAAGCACTTTGTGGACTAATCACATACATCCTGGACTGTGTGTACAAAAACAACAAAATAGACTTCAATCTTCGCCTACTATGGACTACATGACCTATTTAAATATGATTGGTCATTAGTATGTACTTTTGTTTTTAATATAACTGAGTAATTATCATGAACTTTATATTATTTTATTATTGTTAACCATGCTAGTTGTAAGTTAGGACGCTCGCCAACCATGCACACGGTCCGGGATTCAAACCCGGCCGACGCACTCCTTTACTTCGCTAAGCCATAATTAAAAGCTGATAAATAGGAAAGGTTGGGCATGAAGATAGCAACCCCATCCTGTAAAAATTAAACACTGCTACAGAAACTTCAAGCCACTAGCTTGAGGCCCTATGTTCCACTGGGAAAGTAAAGGGACAAAATGCTAGTTGTAAAGCGGTTGTAAAGATACTACGAAATGGTATAATCTCATGAAATTTGTCTTCTACATGCCTTATTCAAATTTATCAAAGGGACTAATTGTTTTAATTCAACAAAATGTTGTATATATCTCGGAGGCGACAAAGAAGAGATATCATAATGGGTTGGTTTGTGCTTTAGGTCAGACAGAGCTGTGTCACCCTATCTGCTATCAATTTATGTTTTTTATTTGAAGATATTGGACAAAGAGGAATCACCATGGAATAAACTCCGCTGAAGATTTGTACATCGCCATTTTATTATTTAGCACTTTTATCTGACACGAGATTAGGTTAGAAAGCAGTCACAGGTGATAAAAGCAAACCCCAGAAACAGTCCACGAAAACTATGACAGACGGTTGAACCACATAGGGAGGTGTATACTAACTGGTTGAGGTCTTTGTGTTGCTAAAAACCAATGGGTAGAAATTGTTGGCGATATAGCTTAACGCCTTTATCAGCGGATCAGATGCCCTGATTCCTTTTAATCTCCCATTAAATCATTGTATTTTTTCATGGTAATGATCTTTTTCCTGTACATCTCTGCTGATTATAAATTGGTCTGATTTCCCTTTTCCTTTCTTTTCTCTACTTATGCACTTCTGTTGAAACACACTTAGTCTGTCTTTACCCTACAGTTTTAGTTATTCTTGTAAAAAAAATAGTCTCCCAAAGATGTGGTTAAGATACTTAGATGATACCTTCGTCATAATCAAACGTAGTTTGTTGAACTAACATTTCCATTTAATAAACAATATTTCAGAAATTCATACGAACTGTAATCAAGATTTGATCGGATAGTTGCAAAATAATTGAGCGCTGAGTGAGAAGTAGACATTTATAAAGTTGTATTTGTAAAGTCTCAGCGAATTGAAATGAGTAATTCCAACGTTTCGTTTGGCAATCTGGTCCGAACTTCTTCAGGGAAATTAATGGAAATTAACATAACAGAGGTTTATATATAAAAGTAACATCTCTTGTTTTTAAAATTCTTGTCCAATCATGAATCATGCAACAGGTATCAACATGTATTTTTGTTTTGTTTTGTTTAGTATACCTATTGATTCATATTTAAAAATAAGAGATGTACTTTTATATAAACATACAATTCTATTTATTTATTTATGATACATATTGATACCTGTTGCACGATTCATGATTGGACAAGAATTTTAAAAACAAGATGTGTCCCTTTATATATAAACTTTGTTATGTTAATTTCGATTAATTTCCCTGAAGAAGTTCGGACCAGATTGCCGAACGAAACGTTGGAATTAATCATTTCAATTTTGCTGAGATTTTATAAATATAACTTATAA